AAGTTGTAATTTTAATTAAAAAATTACTAGCAGAGGTTAAATGTAGAAGATGAGTATGCAGCTTTTTCCTCTGCTTAGAATCAATATTGCCATTCAGGTAACCCACTTTAAATGTAAATGTTACCTCTATTTTGTAGCAGATTATATTTCTGAAAGGTGATATTTTTTCTTCTTTCTGAATCTTCTTTCTGAATCTTTCAATATTCGACAACATTGTTAAACTTCAGAATAAAATTCTAACTTGCTTTGAAAGCTGTGATTGTTTAAATTTTTTTAATGATGTAAGCATCTTACACTGTTTTTATTTTGCAAAGGGGCAGTGTACATTTGCTGATATGGTACTTCACATTTCACATCTTCATATCTGATATGAGTGAATCATTTCAGATGTTAGCATTTTAGCATTATTCAGTGATAAGCAGAATGAATTTGGGTCCAGGTTTCCAGATATCCTTGGTATATTGTGGATATGGAAATAAACTTTGCATGAACACATATTTGTCATGTGACAATTGTCATATTCAGATCGTGCCATGCATTGCCTTGGATGTGGAGGTACCCCTCCTTTAGAAAGCTTTTCATTTGTTTATTTGATTATATTGAAAATAAAAATGTATTTCATTTTGTAGGGTAGATTTATTTTCTGCCCTACTCTTCAGTGATGTGTTATGTAACATTTATTTATGATAATCCAGCCATATTCCTTTCCCTCCTGCTAATAGGCTTTCCTGTCATGCCAAAAAAGAAATCTCTCTTATTTCTGTGTGTCTGATTATTAGTGTTATCGTTGTTGTTCTCTGCTATTCTTTAGAATGTTATGCACATGAATTATATGTTGTATGTGTTTGTAAACACATGTCCATGAGGAAGAATGAATTAAAAAGGACAGGACATATCAAGTGGGGGGGGGGTTGGTTAATGATTAGTGGATAATCTCTGCAAAGTAACTTCCTTTGTGTCTACCCTGGAAATTTACAGAACTCAGCAGTCAGATTGGCCTCTGGAAGAAATCAGAGGGACTCCATTATACTAGCGCTTAATACACTGCATTATTACTGACTTCTTTCTAGGTAAAGTACAGGGTGCTAGTTATTATCTTAAAAACCCTATAGTGCATAGGGCCAAGCTCCTTGAGAGAATGCCTTTCTGTAACTCTATGATTCAATGCCCCCCAGCTCAGCTCACTGAGGTCATTTGCGGAGACTTAGTTACAGTGACCCCAGGCTTCTCTTGAGAAAACTTTTAGTCATCCCAGTTCTTTGGAATGCATTCCCTGCTGGGTTTAGCCTCTTTGCTTCTATGCTTTTAAAAAGCTGTAAAGCATATATTTTAAGCCTCCTTTCAATGCTTTCACTTGTTTTTTTCCGATTTATTTTTAT